GGTACAGATCTGGTTTGATTATGGTTCAAGTAGGATCCTTGAATATTGTATTCTAAATTTAGGGAATATGATTCCCAGTTGGGAGAAGGTAGGAAAATTTTTGAAATTCGCCCACCCATTCCGCAACCTTTATGGCGTCCATTAGATGGATCCTACCATTCTTTCAATCTGGCCTTACAACTGTTTCATAAAACTTTCCTTTTAATCTAAGAGATATTCACCTATCACATAAAATTCCGGATGCACCCTTCCATTTTGCCCATCCTGCTCTAATGCTATGGGCAACATCCTCTTCAATCTCTCCCTTGTTATGAATTATTGAACCAAGGTACTGGAAAAGGTCACATTGAGTTATCTCTTGGTCTTCATTTCTAAGAGTACCCTGATTTGCAGTCCTATTATTATTAAATTTGAAAATCAAATATTATGTTTTAGTCCTACTTAAAAAACCTCTTGTTTCTAAGGCATTTGTCCATAAGCTTAATTTTGCATTTAATCTTCATAAATTTTATCAATTAAAAAATGTCATCAGCAAACAATATGCACCACGGGACCTACTCTGAGATGTCTACTGATATTTAAATTGAAAACCATGGTGTGAAATAGGGAATCTAATTAGATGAATGCCTTGATCTTGTGGTGCCTCGTACCTTGTATTGCTGTTTTTCTTGAGTGAAAACAAAAGCTGGACCTTTCAGTTTTTTCAATTAATAGGTATCTAAAGATGGGTTTGTTTTGGACAGGTGGCAGGATTTTTGTGACAGAAATTTATCCCATAAACAAAGGCTGGAGAGAAAAACAGAGGGACTCCTATTGAGCAGAAAAAAAAAATTGCTAGGTGGAAGATTTCCAGTTTGTTTAAACTTCTTACAAAAATGACCTGACTAAGAGATCTTCCCCTTGAATCTGCCTTGCTAGTGATCATCAAAGAGAAGGAAAAAAAAAAAAGAAGACAAAATCTAATGTTCATAAACTACATAACAAACATTCTAAGTGCAATCATAATTACCTATAGACATTATATGTTAGTGGCAAATTCTTAGTACTCTATTTCATGGATATATAGCTAATCAACATCCAAGTAGATTGCACTAGATTGTTAACACAATTGATCAGATAAATATTTTTCTATCATTGTTTGATAAAAAATTGGAATATATTACCTTGTAGTAACCCTTCATCACCTGTGGCCCCCTAACTTTAACGATGCCTTTTGAGCCAGCTGGGAGAACTTCACCAGTTTCAGAATCTACAATCTTGACCTCTGTATGTCGAAGTGGATGCCCAACAGAGCCAAGGACCTTCAAAGGATGTAAATCTGTGAAATTCAATCATATAATGTACCATTCTATCTTTGGTAAATCAAACTGAAATAAGAAATGGACCAAACAAAGGTAGATTAACAAGGAAGCCTAACGAAAGCAATTTTGTCATGCATCAAAAGAAAAAAAAATCCACCCCTTCCAAAAGCTTGAATAGTGGAGACCAAGGATGGGTAATGACCTTTTTATCAAAAGAAAAACATTACACTCAGAAGTCGAACAAAACATATTATGGTCGAGGTTTTGAATATCAATTCCAATATAGAGCTAGTCACTGTCTAAAGCAGATTAATTCATATAGGTGCACTCCAGCCTTCTAGGAAATTCTCTCATTTTGAGCTTGTTTAAATGTTGAAGCTCTTTGTTTTATGGATGTTTCTTTTTGGAACGTTAATAGATTAGTGAGATTTTATTAAAAGAAAATGTACACAGGTAGAGCATACTAGCTCACCCATAAAGAGCTATGCCCAGATGCCTATACAAGGGTGCTGTATCATGTTAGACAATGGAAACTTTTAGGGTGCATTCCATATGTAATACCATGACTATCCATGTACTTGTTGTATCCAGGTAACATAGATCATCATCATTGTTAGAGCTAGCCGAATAAGGGTAGATTAGTCATTTTATTTCTGTTAAGTTATGTGCTTATGTGGCAGTTTTAATAGAGGCTTCCTGTCCCATACTTAAGTGGGGG